CTGAGAGAAATTAGCCGATAAGAAATTAACAAACGGATATTTCCGATCAAAATACCGATCAATTTTTGTATCCGCCCAGATTAAATTGAATACTTTCAATCATATAATGGCATTTCATCAGATAAACCGATAAAAATTTTGATGAGAGATTTATAAATTTTGATTAGTTTATCTGATAAAATGCCATTATGAGCGGAAGTATCCGATTAAATTTAATCGGATATCCCAATCAGTTATAAAAATTCATCGATATTTTGATCGGAAATTTCCGCTTATTAATTTTTTTATCGGATAATTTCTTCTAGTGTAATGAATAATTCAAGACTGTATGTTTGCACCACTAGATTTATGCGTGGACCACCTGTACTGGTTTCTCCGTGTACGTTATAATTTGTAACGAAGTAACTTGCAACACAACCTATATACCTTAATAACTTTCTCTCTCTCAAAATGTTGAGATTTTCCTTGAAGTGCGGCTCTTTATGGACACGCGGGATGCGCGTTAACGTAACGATGAGCGCTCTCCGAACTCTTCTCCGAGGAAGATCTCTTCGCGATCGTTGATCGAGCGACGATGCTTGCGCAATGTCCTCACGTAGCGTGTACGAGCAGCCGCTGCTGCGGTACCGCTGCTGCGAGCTGCCGCCCGCTAGAGCCGGTCGTGGCTCGACCGGCTAAAGTGACATAAAAATACCGTAACGCGGCCGGGATAAATTTCACGCGAAGACCGGATCTGGCGTTGGACGCGGCTCGCTCGCTCGCTCGCTCGATACCGTCGCCGGCCACGACGTAGTGCGCGTGGCTTATTACGAGGAGCGCGGAATGCGAGTTGACGGTGGATCCCAGAGCGAGAAAATCGCACCGTGACCGGATATACGACGATAAAACCGAAAGTGGTGTGACGTGGGTCCGCGCCCCGAGTTTCCCCCTCCCCCTGTGGCCCTCTTTCCTCCTGTCCTCCCACTCTTCACCTCCGTCCATCTCTCCCTCCTCCTCTTTCTCCTCTCATCCTCCTGTTGCTCGCTCTTTCTCTTCTCTCTCTCGCGGTGCGGTCGTTTATGCTCTCGCCAAGGTTGTGTTCCGTGTGACCATGCTCAAAGCCATGTCGTATATATGCAAAGCAAATGCAAGGTCGTTCGCGCGTGTCTCTCCGCTCCCAACGTGTGTACCACACACGCTCACGTGAGTGCGTGTGTGCGTGCGTGAGTGCGAGCGCGCGCGTGAGACTCGTCGGCGCAGGGCGAGTGCGCAATGACGTGGCTGCAGTTATTCGCAAAAATCGCGGACGTTTCGACGGTGAGCTCGCTAACTCGACCGAGACAAAACTGGGCCTTGAGGAGTCGGCATCGGAAACGCGGTCCACCCAAGATTCTCCCCAGCTGGACAGCGTTTTGATAATTATCACCATGTGAGCCAATCGAAACTTCACAATTCGTTTAACTACATTGACGAAGCAAACGTACTGTCTTGAATTAGTCATTACACCTGCGCCATATTACAATGCAAACTTTTTGTTACACACAAATTATCCGATAAAAAATTAACAAATAAATATTTCCGGTTAAAATACCGATAAATTTTTATATTCGATCATTCGATGAGAAATATCGGTTCATAATTTTTCGATCGGTTTATCTGATAAAATGCCATTATCATGAGAAGATTAAATTAAATCGGATGTTCTGATCGGATATAAAAATTCATCGGTGTTTTGGTCGGAAATATTTGTTTGTTAATTTTTTTTATCAGATAATTTCTTTCAGTGATTGACGCAACAACGGATTTGCTAAAAGTTGCATTCAGATTTTCATGTTATTATCTTGCACAACATATTATTGTCTCAAGTAGATTCTGATAATCTTTTTCGTACTTCGTATTTCTATTTCATATCACTCTCTGTGACAAATGTAAGTTCTATAAGAACCATCCATAAAAGATGTAACCATTGGGAATCGATTGGCAAAGTTGCTGCCAAATTACGCACACCTGCCTATCTGAGTCTTTCGTGGAATGGAATAATATAGTCGATAGAATTCAACACGAGAAGTCACCCCTTCGAATTTGTCTCATGTGCTGAATTAATTAATTATTCGACACGAGGCGATGATTGCGCATTCGATTAATTAATACACTGACTATCACTGTTAACTCCCGCTGAGATTTTTCAACGCTCAACTGAAGTTGGAATTTGAATCACTGAAGATACAGTAAATAAATACGATTCGTGATGCATACATTTGCTGCCTCGTTTCATTGACTCTATATTGGTTGTATATTTAATTTATTATATGCAGTCAATTACACGTTCAACACGTTCAATTAGTGATGCATGGAAATATCATGATGCCGATTGCGAGTAAATTCTATGATAATCTATTAATTATAATATTACGAGTAAATTCTATGATAATCTATTAATTATAATATTTCATAAATACACATACACACACATATCAATAGAGAACATAAAAAAAATGTTTCGTTAATTTCTTTAAAAATAAATTTTTTTATATCGAAAGAAAATTATGATTTAATTATTATTATTTGATTTTAAAGTTACGCAAGTATGACATCTGCTAATCATGTAACAAAATTTCTCTTTTTCTTGTAGAATTTTCTAGAGGAAATTTATTATTTACAATAATGTTCATTATATAAACATAGAGTGTAATTAATGACACATTCATTATCCATCATGTGCAAATAGAGCTCAACAAACTGAATACAATATCTCTACTATTTCGAAAATTTCTGTAAAATTTTGAGTTATTAATTCAAGAAGATTGGCGAATGATCACATGCAACATATGGTAGATGAGCTGTGATCATTCTAAAATATAAATCTATATGGTCATTTGCAAAAAGTCATTTGGTAAAGAACATTTTTGTTCGAGTTGACTTAATGTACAATATAAACACATACAGTCATCACTCTATCATGTGTGATCGTTCACTAATCTTTCTTAATTGATAACTCAAAATTTTACGCAGTTGTTTGCGAAATGGTACAGGAATTTTGTGTTCAGCTAGACGAGTTTTACCTGCACACAACAGGTGTATCATAAATTGTCAGTCACCCTATAAATATATAATTTTTATTATACATATTTTTTTATATCGACAATGGATTGAGAAAAGAAAAATTTAACATATCTAAACGTACATATATACGTAGACGTATGTCAGTGTCCTTGAAAAGATTAAATTCTGGGACTGTTTTGGGATACATCACGTTTGGCACGTGTTTGGTATCGCGTTTGTGTGGAACGAAACAAGAATCACGGCGATCGACGATGCTGCGAGCGCGCGTTCCGCGTATATAGAGTAGAAGCTGAACCTTGAATGATATTTATTGGCCTGTTCTGCATACTAGACTCAAAAATAGCTGATTCATTGTAAGTAGTAGTGCCACTTTCATTCACGTAACAATCCGCGCACGTAGATTCTGAATCCGCAGCACGCGAGAAACTTCAATGTCACCCGCGATTGTTAACACAGAAGCCCGCGCGCGCGCGCGCGCACCCAGTTCGCTTGCGCCCGTCGTTGCGATCGATCGTTTCACACAGCGATTTATCGAGCTATGCAAATCTCATGAGATATCTTACTTTTTTTTTCCTGTAAATGTTAATTAGCGAGGGTGAGAAATATGATCAATCGTATCGTGCGTTGGCGTGTCGTATATTATTCACAGCTCAACGAGCGAAATGTGGAACACGCGCGGAGATAATTCCTCAGGCTGGCGCTTGTCTTTTTTCCTTCGCTCTCACTTTTCTTTCTTCATATAACCTTCGTGACTTGAGTATCTAATGAAACCGCGAGCAGTCCGCGATCGTCACGTGCATCGTCAGATTCGCGTTTTCAAGGAACGATGCATGGAACGGATGTGCACTTTTCATCGATACATCCGAGCGCACAATGCGCTCCCTTATCTTGAGTCGTCGGCCTGATGATAACGGGAGAAAGCTGTGTACATTCTTATCGGACACCCATATCCTCATTAGAGAACGATATATTTAGCCTAAACATATCAAACGATGTCAGAAGCTAATATCCCACAACATACCCCCCTTTCACGCACATTGCCGCCGGATTCTTAATTCGATCGTCCACACGGACACGTTGCGACAACAATCCGACATTGACGGGGTCCAAAGTTCCATCCATACAAGTTCTTCTTTTTTTTAATAGATCATCTAGCACAATCTCAAATTACCTTTTTATTTCAGCCCTGATGAAATACTTAATTTCCGACTTAATCCTTTAAAGTTAAATATCTTCTCCTAGCATATCTTTTCTTTCATTTTTAGTGATCTTATCTAACTTATCGGCAGACATAGTCGACTGTATTATTACTATACTTTCTCATATAAACATAGAAACTAAAAAAAATTAAAAAATAATTTAAATGCTAATTGTTAAATTATTATAAACAAATAAAAGTTAAAAAAGCACTTTTTTCAGACAGAAATCATTTTAGGCCTAACTATTAAGAATTGACACATATCAGAACATTAACAGTTTATTAAGGACAATGAACAAAATTTTACATTTTTTTTTAATATTCTGTAAACTTTATTTTTTATAATAAACTATTGATATGTTTAATAAGTGAGTATTCAGGACGATAAGAGCCAAACACGTAGATGTTAAACGTTACAAAGTCAAATGAAATAACTAATATAAATACAAATATACAAAATTAATAGTATACAAAATTAATTGTGGTGATTGTGATGCTTCTTACGTTGGACAGACTAAGAGGAGATTGGGTACACGATTAAAAGAACATAGTTCACATATTTCTCGGGCGGTAAGACAGCCATCACCGATCACAGATCATAGGTTGGTGTTCAATCATGAGTTTGATTTGGACAATGTTCAAATTTTGGACATTGAACCAAATTATTATAAGCGCCTGATCTCTGAAATTATCCATATAAAAGATCAGTCTAACAGTTTGAATTCTCAGTCTGATATTGAGGCGTTAAGTAATATTTACTTTCCTCTTTTGGATAGGATTCGGAACAGAAGGTGATGTGATCGATTTTTTCCTTGTTTACGACTCAGCTGAGTTCTGCACATTTAGTTTGATATGTCTAATGTGGGCCAATAGGTTTATAATGTCGAGCATTGTTTGTAATGTCATTATTGATGTGTATGCTCTTTGATTGTTGTGTTGTTGGAACTCTCCTTTCCCACATCTGTGGTAAGTTAATTTCAAATTTGTTAATAACGGTTGAAAGCGAACTACTCATTACACATGTCTAGGACAATTATTTTGAAGAAAGGGATTTAAGAATTTTTAGTTTGGATTATTAATTGAGGTAGTTTATCATTTTTTTGCGTAATTTTATTTGTCACAGCTTATGAACACTGATGTGACGGGTTCTTTGACTTAACTGTCGGTAGTATGACTCATATCATTTTTTAACTTCTATAACAACTACAAGGAATGTAATGTGTTAATCGTTAATTTTGAACGTCGCCTAAAGAGGACCACATCCCATGGTCGAAACGTTGCGCAAGAATAAATTTATATTTGTATTTATATTAGTTATTTCATTTGACTTTGTAACGTTTAACATCTACGTGTTTGGCTCTTATCGTCCTGAATACTCACTTATTAATATATTTAAATTGCTAGAGCCGTTTTATTGTAATTTGTTTTATTAATTATTGATATGTTTATTACAAGTTTTTTGTTATTCATATTACCCATTTTAACTTTTTTAACTCAAATTTGTAATTTACGCGACCCCGAAAATTTCAATATGCCAAATTTGAAGGAATTTCACCGAGAAATAAAATATATAGCTCAAAGAGTTAACACATTCTACAGCTAATAATGTTTCATAATAATGTATGGTTTATAGTTCATGCGATGAAGGTTATAGATCAATTATTTATACGTATATAAGTGTGAATATACTATATTAATAAATCATTTTGCATTTTGCACGCAGGTGCAGCACGAGGAGATAAATCGCCGAGATTTTTCATTTGAACAACTGCTCAGCTAGTATAGATGAACCATACAAAAAAATTAACGTTTTTTCTCATAAAAAACTGAAGAGAACAGGCTAGGTGCGAATCAAAACCGCTCTGGTCATATCAGTAGTATTGACTGTCAGTAGCTTACTGACATATCTTCCTCAAGCTTATGTTTCTCCGTATGTCTCCAAATCTCTTGGCGATTTTGGTCGCAATAAACTATTACCTCGGATCCATAATCTTGCTTTAACCCTTAAGCGAACGCGCAACGACATTCCATACCCTTGCAGCACTGGTTTTATCAAGGAAGGTCGCATATAGCGCGCCCTGCTTTTCCATTGCGGCCTGTATTTTGCATTTCTCATTTATCATGTCTGTTACAAAATAGCGCATGTTTCGTATTTTTCCCATCAAGAGGTCACTCGTCAATCACCTCTCAATCCGGTAAGTCACGTTTTGCGGTACTCTGTACCGTACGTTTCCAAGTATCCTGAAAGGTTTACGTTACTGTTATTTTTGTTTATGTTTTTATATTGATATGTCCTTATTTAAACAGTTTGAAGCTAACGTTCCTTCTTTTAGCTTCTCAGTCACGGTTTACTTAACATAAATTTAAAAACGCAACCTCCTGTAAAATACAACAATCTCGTATTTTATTACAGATATATTTCGCTTCTTTCTGTGGGGCATATTTACAATTTTTCATCGCAATTTTACGGCAAATAAATAATAACTTCGTAGTGGGACACCTCAGTATCGTGCGCGCCCACTAATGTTCGGGCGACTCGCTTAAAGGTTAAGCCGCAAGCAAATGACCAACCACAGTCGATTATTCTTGGAATTATTCTTGGAATAATCGACTGCGGTTGGTCATTTGCTTACGGCTTAAGGCAAGGTTGCGGATCTGGGGATAGAGGTTACATTTCGAAAGCGCAGACTGTCGGCTACTGGACACTTTATCTTACTAGAGAGCTTAAGGGAGAATTCACATTTTGGCAAAAAAAAAAAAAAAAAAGCAGAAAGGCAGAAGCCAATGATGATCAGGTGGTAGTCGATAGTTTCTGCCTTTCTACCAAGTTCCGATTGGCTTCTGCCTTTCAGTTTTCTGCTAAGGTGTGAATTCTCCTTAAAGAGCTTCCGGCATAAGTAAAAGTTACTCACACCGCCTTCTTAGAATTAACCGAATTTCGAGGTGACGCGCGTGTACCGGTGCGAGCTAAACGGAAATTCGACTCGAAGCAGACTGAGGCAGACGCACAGATGCCGTAATTGCAGCCCGAGAGAGCCTTTTATATCTCGGTTTGTCGGTCCGCAACGACGAGGAGAACACGCGGGTCGCGTCTACGTGCACGTACGGACGCACGCATGACGACGACGTGTGTGTGTGTGTGTGTGTATGTGTACGTACGCGTGTGCGTGCGCACGCGGTACACTCGCACTGTAACCTCCTCACCGAACTACCTGGATGTGCCCAAGCCCCAATGGTCCGCATTCCAAAAGTCAAGGACTCTCTCGAACCGATCCGGACGTCGGCAGGCGCCTGCTTCTCTCTCTCTCTCTTTCCCTTGCCGGTCACGTGCCTCTCCTTCTCCGCTTCTCGCCTTATCGCGCGTCTTTCCTCGTTCCCGAGCAAGCGAGCAATCGAGAAAAGCGCTTATGACTCGATCGAATCATCCGGCTAGTCCGTTGTATAACACGCTCGATTGACGAGAAACCCCCAAATATCGAATATTGGACTCTCTTTCTCCCTCCCTCTCTCCCTCCCTCTCTCATCCTTTCTGCGCGAAAGAGACGACGACGAAACTACGGAGGACCTGTCGTTGCTACCAGCGTCGTTGTATCGAATTATCGGGCAGGGCGGCGCCGGCCGTGAATTCAATCGCATCCCGAACGAATCTACGGCGAACGTAACTTTCTATCGAGGAACCATAAAAATTGATAGAATCTCGCTTCTGCCTTCGCCGAACGAAACTGATTGAAAACGTGCATTGTCCCTGCAATTCAAAAAGTGGGACAACTTCCTGAAAAGTCATGATATCGAAATCCGAAAACCGAGACGATCTCCTGCAATATTGAGTTGGTCCGTAAGTTCGTGCGGATTTTTGTCCAGTTGACATTCGCATGTTGGTATTCAGAGGATAGTTTCATACAGTTTTGGCTACTGAGAAAAAAGCGGTTGAATCGACAAAATCGACAGTCATCGGCATTCAAAGAGATAATCAACGCAACTTATTGTTAACGTGTTTTGTTGAATAGATCTAATATTTCTTTGAAGACTGGTGATCGCCGATTTTGTCAATTTAACCGCTTTTTTCTCAGTGTATGTAAATGCTTTCATAATTGACACATCAGAGTCAATTATGTAGTGTAAGTGATAGTTACAACGCAACAAAGACAACTATACTTCTTGCACCCTCCAATTATCAATTGTTTCACTTGTTACAGAACATCTTTGACGGGGAGCTATAAACTTTGCTTCTTTAGAAGATGTGAGAAATTACTTGAAATATTTTTCGCCGAAAAAGAACAAGTTTTGCAAGAGGGAAATTATGAAATTACGTGAAAAATGACAAAAGTGATAGTTTAAGACTCCTTGAATTTATGACGTCAGAAGCGAGGAATGATTCGTTGACGAAAGTTGCGTGCCATTTCTAAATAAAGATAAATACGAACCAAAGAACACTTGTGATCGCTTGAGCACACTTATGAAGTTTTCCGGAAACTATCCCTTTTCCCTGACAAACAGTCGTATTATGATGAAATCATACAGACAAAACAGATTCATTTCTCACGTGTCTCATTTCACCATTTATTATACGACTATTTATTGACCATCAAGGAAAAGGGGTATCTTTCCAACAATTTTACAAGGGTGCTTAAGCAGTCTCAAATGTTCTTTCGTCCATATATCTTTATTCAGAAATGGCACGCAACTTTCGTCAGCATGTCATTCGTTTCTAACGTCACAAATTCGACGAGATACAAAGAGCCTTAAATAAGTACAGTTGTCTTTGTTGTGGCTTAAAATAGAAAGCAGTAATGAGCTTTTTCGATACATTATACTTCTGTCAAAATGTTTAGAGTTTGGCTGGGATGTTCTGCCTTACCCACTATATTCACTAGATGCAATATCGGGTGAATATAGTGGGTAAAGTAGAACATCCCAGCCAAACTCTAAAAATTTTGACAGAAGTATAATGTATCGAAAAAGCTTATTACTGCTTTCTATCTTAAGCCGCAACAAAGACAACTGTACTTCTTGCATCCTCCAATTATCATCTGTTTCACTTGTTACAGAACGTCTTTGACGGGGAGCTATAAACTTTGCTTCTTTAGAAGATGTGAGAAATTGCTTGAAATATTTTTCGCCGAAAAAGAACAAGTTTTGCAAGAGGGAAATTACGTGAAAAATGACAAAAGATTGCCGAATTGCACATATATTATTGATTAAAATTGATTTTAACAAAAATAAAATACATTTTGTTTAAAAGTTCGTAAACTTATGGATCAATCCAATACAATTTTACCAAGATGTTAGGATTGTCTCATATTTATATTATATTATACTTACAACAATATATGAATGAATGCATTCATATGTACTCATTTGAATACACTCAGATTCACCTAAATCAGTAAATATATTGTAAGAGAAAAAAATATCTACAAAATAACAAAAATTTATTCAGTGAGTAGTAATAATATTAACTTACATCTTTAAATTATATTAATTAAACACATAATTATAACCAATAATATTATGTTAACTTAAATAAAAAGTTTTTTTTATATAAGGAAGAAGAAAGAATAAACAATCATTGGTCAAAAAAGTTTGTCATTTATGTTTTATTGTGCATCTGAGAACCTGATAAAATAAACCATTGTTTTCATGAAGAATTACTGTTTTAAGAAAATATATATTTTCTCATTTAAAGAAATTTTTTTCTTGATGTAAAAATATATATATATTAATATAAGTAAATATGTTGTTAGTATTCACCAAAGAATATTTCACCAAAGAATATTTGTTTATTTTTTAGATATTTTTCTCTCAGTATATTAAATATATTTGTGCAAACTGTTTTCAAAGCGATAGATCCTTTTTGAAACAATTGCAATTACTTCGGGAAAATTTTGTTTTATTTAGGGAAACTGTCTCAGTGTTTCCAAACTTCGCGATCTTGATTTTTCAGAACAATGCATGTCCATCAAATTGATACCTCGTTATTTGTAACACACAACGGTTTGTTATTCATATGTGTATATATGTATGTGTGAACAATATATCAATCGAATCGAATATCGTTCCGTGGAAAAACGTTATGTGTACATAAATGTTTTCCACGAAAATGAAAATATTTGATTAAATGAATTGTGTGTCCGGCTATATTTCCATAAAAAAAAGACGCGTCCTCAAATTAGATAACACACGTTGACGTCCAATTTATTACATATTCAGAAGTCGCGGGAGATGCTAACGAGAAATTAACGAGAAACTAACGAGAAACTAACGATTGCTGTTCGTTTATTCGTCGTAGCTTCATAGCGCCGTTTATTAAGCGATATCGGAGGAACATGTGTCGACTGTACGGTCTCTTGTACTCCCAGTTAAATCTTTGCGGCTTAACACGGACCAGTCGAAAAGTAAGTCCCAAAAGTACATTCGCGTCGCGCGCAAGGCTCGTTGATTGAAATCGGCGAGACCTCGTCGGATATACCTTAATAAGGGAATCGTACCTTGACGGACAACCGGTACGACAATGGCGACGCACTTGACGGCGAAGTCGGTAATCCAAGGATACGACGGAGGATATGGTTGTACAAGAGATGCGCTTTCACGCAAGTCTGGATACAGTTACTTGCAAAAAAGAAGATATATCTATTCAGATAGACTTTCACGATCATCACGTCATGGATATAGTTAGATGGCGTGCAAGTGTGTGAATGCTTGATTAATATGGTGCATAAGTTTGGAATAATTTTAGTGTATTGAATTAAGTATAGAGTCTCAGATATGGGAAATTATGTAGAAATGATTGCGTAAATTGTGTATAAGTGAAGGTGAAACGAGGCATTAGGTAGGAGAGCAGGATTCAGGACGGAAAAAATGCATAGGTAATAAAGGTTATGGCGTCATAAGTAATAATTAAAATAGTGTAGGTAATGCAGAAAGAATTATCGCTAGAGGAAATGTATAATAGATGATAATCGCAGAAACAGAAATACACAAAGGATAGAGAAAGAAGAGGATATAAGAAATGAAGAAAAAAAGTCATCGGATAGGATGAAGAAGTGAAATAAAGATATACGAAAGGACACGAAGACTGATGGGACAGATGTTTTACGTATGTTTTAGAAAGATTGAAGTGTAAAGAATAAGAGGAGGATTATAAGGGGGATATGGTAAACTCCTTCTTGATGATATGAACTGAAGAAGACACACG